TTTTAGAATCTGAGTTTTCATAGGAAATACACGTTTTGAACTGCATTGAGACCAAATAACCAAATCCAGAAAAGTGGTCTGTGTCTGTGAGTCTGTGTGTATGTAAACAGTTTAGCCCAAAAAGCAAAAGTCGTACGAAACTCATATTATGTATTTAAGATAGGTATATGCCTTAGATGTGACAGCAACTTTTTCGTTAAAATCGGCTAACCTTTTTACAATTTGCCCGAAAATGGCACCATAGATTTTGATTAAACTCGGTGGATCACCATACAATTAAGTATCATTTAGGTCATATCCCCATTCATGTCACATTACACAGCTTGAATGCCCAATGTTCATATACGTCTTCTTCTAAAGTACCTTTAATATGGTTTATTTTAAATGATTAATAATCTCTCATTATTAAGAGTTACGAAAATATACTAAATATAACTTTTGAAAGAATTTGATAATTGAATAAAGGAGAGAAAAATAAAAATGCTCATCCACATGAATCCAAAATCATCCAAAATGAATAAAAGTGACCTTTCAGACAATTAAATTAGTGAATAATTTGATGAATTTTCCCTTTGTGAAATCCCAACATTATCCACTCACAATTAGTGTGATAACTTTTGACCTGACCTAAGGCAGGCAATGAAAATCTCGTTTCGTAATTTCGTTTTAGTAAACTTTACAATGGAAAATAACAGTTTAATAACTGATAGTCCTATACATACAATCCATAATCATTTATAAGTTAAATATTCAGATGTACTTTCAAACCTCTCCAGGCATATATGAGCCTTTCGGTTGATAGAATGACTAACCCCCATTTCAACATTCTTTATTATTAATTTTAGTGATGTTTCTAGTGACAAAATTTATACCTTTATTCACAGTTCTATATTTCAACACGTACGAATAAAAGATTAATGAATAGCTGCGTAAGATTTGTTATCGGTGCCCTGAGGTACTCCCATGTCTCTCACCACTACACTGAGTTAAGGTGGCTCTTCCCCTCCTTTAGAAGACAATATTTCCTAGGTACATTCCTCTATCAAATCATCAACAACCATCGTCCTTCTTACGCCTACAACCTTCTCCAATTCAAGTCCTCAGTCCATTCCCTTTCAACAAGATCTCGACCTTCTGACCTCTACATCTCTTCGCACAGATCTGCCTCATTTAAGAATTCCTTTATAGCTCGCGCTGTCAATTTCTTGAATTCTCTACCTATCAAAATTCGGCATTCCCCCTCCATATCCACATACAAATCCCTCCTATTCCAATTCCTATCCCAAAAACAGTCAGATTTCAAACGATAGTGCTATTCTATACTGTGAACTTCACTAGGGATATTACAATATTTTCCGGCTCTTAATACCACTGACCGCATCTATTGTTTGTTTTTTATTTTTATTATTATTTTGTATTGGTATATAATTAAATCTGTACCTCTAGCACTTGACAATGATGAGTCTACATATTAATCATTTAAAGACACTGATATTTTATATTGTCAGCTTTGTTTTTTCTTCGTTAGCAGAAACACACCTCATTTTAAAGAAGAACTCAATGTATTTTTTATTATTTTATTTTTTAAAAGAGTATAATTATAATTTTTCCTACTGTACATAGTCTTAAGTGTTTTATCATAGTTTTAAGTGTTTTGTATATAGATTTTTTTTTTTGTATATAGCTTGTTTAACTAATATTTTCTTTACTTTCTCTTTTTTATTATTGTTTTATTTTGGCCAGATGTAGTCTTTTAATTATGTTCTATTTTGTTATTCTAAAGGGACTTTGTCCCAGGATAAAGTTATTTTCTATTTATATTTCTAGGAATCACGTACTCTGGAATCAACTTACTCACTGTCTGTATAGATAACTTTTTTAACTAGAAATATCACTGAAATGACATTACTTAAAAATGTTGAAATTGGAGTTAGTCATTCTGTCAACGGTTTATAAAAGCAGATGGAGTAACGAGATTTTTATTGCCTACCGTCGTAATTTTAATGATTTATTTACTGTAAGCTTTAATCTTCACCTCCACTTAAAGTGCACTTCAAAAATTTTATGATAGCCATACATTGCCAGAAAATAATTTATATTCAAAGTAGAGTAGTAAGTGAAAGTTGTGTGTTGCGCGCAGCAGATTTTTTTTGTCTGTCGGCAGATTATAAGGATTCATTATTGAATATAATAAAATAAAATATGTGGACAAATTCTAACACCCAGTATCATTGCTAATGTTGCCATTCCGATGAATTTATTTTCTTTTTATATAGAATTTAGCAATTTTTTTAATCAGAATAGTATCCTTATTATTTTGATTGAGTATTACCAGTTTTTATTACCTATTTTATTTCAGGCATTTTTTTTTTTTTTAGAATAGCTTGCCTATTCTCGTTAAGAAAATTATAATCTTAAAAATTAATTGCAGGTTTAATAAGGTAATAATCGAAATCATTATATAAGGATTATTTTGTATATTTTTTGGAAAAAATATTTATTTTATAAAATAAGTTATAAAACCTATTTAAAAAACATATACTGTTGAATAAAAAATAAAAACACAGGTTTGTGTTGCCTAGGTACATATTTAACTACTTCTTAATTGTAATAATTATATTTTTTATCAAGTTAATCCCAACTCACCACATGTATAAATATTATGTATAAAAATAACTGAAATCTATAAATAAATAGTGAAAATATTTATTTATTTGACCTCATCACAGTAAGTCAAAGTCCATAAATAAACAAATGGGTATGTCTTCATGAGTGAGAATTTATTTAATTTACATTTTAATTATGTGATAATTATAACTTAAAGTTCATTTTTTAGATTAAACATACAATCTACAGAATTTTAAAATAATTTTTGAATACACAAATTAATAAATAATTTTATAATAAATGTATACAATAAAGACTTTATAAATAGAACAGAAATACTAGATCAAGTACATTCTAGTATACAAAAAAAAAATTGAATAAACATTAACATTATAAAAATTAATTTATACAACCAATTCTTCTATTTGATATTCTAAAAAAAAATATATTTACGTAAGAATATATGTTAATGTGATGATTATTATAAAAATATCACTTATTATTTAAACAGTAAAGAGTATATTACTCAACAAAAGTATTTCATGAGTTGATTTTAACCGAAAAATTAAAAGCACATCCATACTAGGTATTAATAAAAAGATACACGTCCGTATGAAAGATTAAATGTGATTTTTTTATAGTGAGATAACATTTTAGACAGTATCATAGTAGAGTGAACGTTCCAATTATGGACAGTGGATCCAGTAATGGACTTTAAATGTAAATAATAAGATTCCTAGTTGATTTAATGGTTCCAGTTTTTCTAGATTGAAGAACAATGCCCTCTATTGACAATCGTATAAACAAATTTTTCCCCCAAAATAATTTAAAATGCTTATCAAGGTTGTTTCAACAGTGTACTTGAGATCAGTGTGTTCCATACCTTCTTACTAACAGTTTTGCTAAGAGTAAGTTGAACTTTTATATTATCTTATCTTTATCGTTATATTTATAATTAAATAAAATTTTAGTATTTTCTGAGTTATGTACATTACTGGTACCAACCCCTATCCATTACTAGAAAAATTGATGTTTAGGGTGTGCAATAAGGTATTTTTTTAAAATGGAGATTATACCTGCATAACTGAATATTTTTTCAATTTTAAAGTTCTAAATAGAAAAGGGAGACTTTAGAAATTCTAAATGTCCGACGGAGAAGTTTATAACTATAATAATTATGGCGGCATAATGAAAAAAATACTAAAATTTCCTTAGCTATGTCCCTCACAGGTGAACTTATCCTAGAATTTTTAAAATAAAACTTTTAAATTTATCATATAATAGAAGATGTTTGGGTCTGTGTTCCAGAATGGGTTCGATTCTCACATGGGTTAGTTAATATTTACCTCAAGACTGCCCCCAGAGAAATGAATATTGACGTAACCACTCTGGGGTTGGCATCAAGAACTCCCCAATTCATTTGATATTTTAAATAATAATTATCTCTGATGTTCTTATATTTACAATAAGCCAACTTTTAAAGTTTCTACAGTGTCAAACACATTAAGAAACATCGATTCTTGTCTTAGCAGACTCTAAACTGAGAAAATATCTTTTAAGGTTATTCATTTAATGGCGTTTTCTTCTTAAGTATTGGATTTTTTCTTTTCGTTTTATTCATTATTCAATTCTGAATTGTCTAAATAAATAAAGGAATGTGACAGAGCGACAAAAGTTTTAAGACGAACAATATATATTTACTCAGTAAAATTTTTCTCCGATCTTGAAGTCACTTTTATTTTTTATTACTAATAGAGGTTCCTTGTTTAGTTTCTTTTCATTATTATTTAGATTTTGCGTGTATATAAATAATTATAAGGTGTCCTAAGGATATATTATACGAATGTTTTAGATTGGGGTGAATGTTTCATTCACATCTTTAGTAGTAAGTCCGTAGGATTTAAATGGAAGGAGATGGTCCGGGGTGGCGGTCATAAATAGGCTAAATAGTGGTAAAACTATTTTATTGAAAGCCGACCATTCGACCGGACTTTGCAGGTCTTCTTCAGGGAGGTGTGTTTAGCTAGGAGTTCCACTTCGAACTGGTTCAAGGGATTTCATTTGAGTTCTAAGTGAAACTCCTTTCTTAATACACCTTCCTGAAGAAGACCTGAAAAGGCGGGTCGAAACGTTGGCTTTTAATAAGATAATTTTTGTCACTATTTAGTCTATTTATGACCGCCACCCCGGACCATATCGTTCCTTTATAATGCAACGGTCAACTATTAAATATTCAGTAGGATTTTAATGTTAAAAATGGTTAACAAAAGAACTAAATATTCAACATTTAGATCTTTAGCTATATGTTGCTTTTAAATGCCAAAAATTATATTAAAATTAACATTAAGAAGAAATGGAGTCCTGGAGAACAGAAAAATATGAAGAAGAAGCCATCAGGACTCTTCCTTGTGGTGCCTGTTCCTCAGACGGTCTTGCCTGATCTGCCGCTCTACACTCTGTAGCCTCGAGCGCAGCAGCTTCACGTCGGCGGTGAACCCTTCGGTCTCCAACAGCCTTCTCTTTTTCTCTTCTTCCATCTTGCCTTTGTAGTACTCCTCCCTCTTGACCAGTCTCTCTTTGTCCTTCTGCCTCAATTCCTTCTCGTTTTCCAGTTCGCGTTTCAACAACCTCATCTGCTCTAACAGCTCCGCTTTCTGATCCTCGTACTCTTTGACCAGTTTGTCCCTTTGATCAAGCTGCTCCCTCAATCTCTTAAGACTTGACTCCGCCTTCTTTGCTCTCTCGTTGGGGTAGTCGTCACCAAGGAGTTCTTTGCAGATAGCAAGAGACCGCTTCAACTTGTCATTATCCTCGATCAGTTTCAGATCTCTCTGGCGTACTCTGTCAAGCTCTTCGAGATACGAATCCATTTCGGAGAACTTGAACTGCTGAGCGTTCCTCAGCCTGCTGTTCAGACAAGCGATCTGTTGAGTATAAATCTTCTTCTGAGCTTCCCATTCTTTTTTCCTAAGATCGAAATCATTCGACTGCGAGATCAGTTCCTCTTTCAAGACGGAAGTCTGCGCTTTGAGTTCGTTTTCTAGAGCGTCAACCTTCAGCTTTAACACATCCGTCAAAGTTTCTTCCTTGAAATCCTGGATGTTCTTGTTGAAGTTTTTCACTTCTCTGAACCGCACTCTTTTTCTTGGCGACTTCCCAAGAATTGTCCTCGCTCTGTCCTCCAAATCTATCTCTGATTCCTTCATACCGGCGACTTGAAGTAGATAGGCTATCTTTCTTTTGTCTACGAATTTTTCCAATTCCAGTTTTTCGATTTCCCTCTTGAGGCTCAAGGAGTGTTCTCTTTCTTTGTATAGACATGACTGCAGTTCACTCAGGTTTTCTTGGAGAGCCGACGTGTCCGCTAGAATGCGCACTGTTTCTTCTTCCTTCGTCGCTGACTGCTCAGCCAATCCCTGACAAGCTGCGACATCTTTCCGGAGGTCTATGATATGGGATCGGCATTCCCGAAGCCTGTCTTTGTAAAATTCGAGAAGCTTCTCCGACGGATGTAGAGGGTCTTCTTGAGGCATCTTCACCTGTAAATGACGAAACTTCCGTTAAGTTCTAGCGAAGCAGAGTTGCTCGATGACAAAAATATATAGTTATACAAACCTCGCGTGATTATTTAATGTTCTACACAGCCTTGTAATAACGATATACTCGATTGTCTGGAATGCTGTTCTAAGAGATTTTGTATTATAAATATTTTATCAATAGACAAATTCTATTCTGGAATTCTATATTATGGAAACTGTGGAAAGAAACTGTTAATGGAAGATCATGAATGAAGGGGAAGTTCTCCGAGAAGTTGGTTCGATAAAAGGAAGTGGGTTCAAAAATACCCTACATGTCGACCTTGATAAAAACAGAAGTATATGAATCTTGCCGAAGAGAGAAAGATCCTCACAAATGTCATTCAACTTGGTGCTGGAAGAAGTTTATTATGTTGTAACGAAAAATAAAATACAAAAAAAAATAATAATTAGTATGTAAAATAATTTTTAAGTTTAAAAATAATAATAAGTTTTTTTTTTATTATTAACTCGAATAGGGTTAAATATATAATTAAGTGTTTAGTATTGTTTTAATAATAACCAATTGTTTATAATAAGTCTAGTTTTAAGTATTAATTGTAGATATTATTTTTAAGTCAGTGGAACAGGAAACAGCTGATTGGGAGGGGAAAAAAAAAGACAGTCGAGTTGAGAGAGAGATTTTTAGTTGTGAAATATCTTAGTTTTACGGTGTACACCGGATTTTCATTGCTTCTCCAAGAACCTGTGATTATCAGCGACGAGTGCCGCATGATCTTACAAGTTGGTGAATGAACATTTTCACAACTTGAGGAGATAAATTGTGGAGACATTGAAGACGCTAGTTCGAATAAGTTGCCGCTTCTTCAGATAACACAATGTGTCAATTGGACAGAGTTCAACCAGTGGGATATTGTAAATATGTACATATAAGTTTTTTTTTATCTATTTTTATTTCCAAATGTTTGTAATTGGTATATTGTATAGTTGTAAGTTAATGTTTAGTCCTATAATAATTTTATATTCCTTTTGTTTTATAATTAAAGTTAATTGTATTTTCTTTGTTTTCTTATAAATCTAATTTCTTTTTCATAATTTTCATTTCCTTTAACAGTTATTTAAATTAATAGAAATAAGTAAATTCATCATTAGTATTAATAATAGCCAGTTTTATTTTCTTCTTTGTTTTCATGTTTTAGTATATATTATATTGTTTTTTTTGTTTAATAAGGAATTGTAAAACCCTATTCGAGGGATTAGGGAAAGTCATTATTAACCAAGTAAGAAGGTTCGATAGGTTATGAGGTTAATTAACATATGTTTTAAAACCCAAAGGTTCCGAGTTCGTAGCTCACTCCGCGTCCTAATCTTTTTTTTTTTTAATTAAATTTATTTATTGAATAATTAATGGTTGACCGTTGCATTACAAAGGAAGGAGATGGTCCGGGGTTGCGGTTATAAAAAGGCTAAATAGTGGTAAAACTATTTTATTGAAAGCCAACGTTTTGACCCGACTTTGCAGGTCTTCATCAGGGCTAGAACGGACAAGATACAAAAAGATAGAGAATTGTGGAAATTACATAATGTTTAGACATAATTTATAAACAATGTGAATAAGCTTATTAGAATTATAAACAGTAAGTACAATACAATATGGACTAAGTAAGCTGAGTAACGAGATCCTAAAATAAAGTAAATAGATGCTAACAATTGTTGTAGTGTAATATATAACAAATGAAAATGTGAGTATAATTCTACAAAATCTACAGGAGAAAAAATTAGAGACTTACAGGTGTGTTCCTCTAGGAGTTTCACTTAGAACTGGAAAGGCAGCGGTAAGGATTGCAGGTATAGGGGGAGTTAACATGTGTTAACTAAGTAAAGATTGAAAAACCAAGGAATGTACAGTATCTAGGAATTTCTGAAGATATGGATGGATACAATGGAAAAATACCATATCTATGAAATATTAAATTATAAATATATAAATATACATATAAAATAGATTTGAGAGATGTAAGAGGTATTTCATGATTCTAGATCAGAGTACAATGTGAATAAACCCAAAATTGGTAAAAAGTAAAATGTAAATATAGAAATAACTTCATTAACATACATACATTGCAGAGGAACACAATCCCGTTAATCACAAAGTAGACAAAAACTGTATTTCTCTTACATATAGACACATTTTTAGTCTTATTAGGGAAAAATAACTTAAATATTCTATTCTATTATTTTCATCCACTCTCAATTTTTATTAATTAATTCATTTAATTGTTTATTATTCTAAATATTCCTTCTTTGTATGATCTCTCTTCTATTTTATTCTAAATTTACATTTACACTCTACACCAATGTATGACCACCCTATATTTTTTATTTATTTATTTTTTTTATTTTATTATTATTTTTTTCTTTCTTTCTTTCTTTTCCCTCTCTATACTTTTAAGTTAGCTCTGCAATGTATGTATGTTAATGAAGTTATTTCTATATTTACATTTTACTTTTTACCAATTTTGGGTTTATTCACATTGTACTCTGATCTAGAATCATGAAATACCTCTCACATCTCTCAACTCTATTTTATATGTATATTTATATATTTATAATTTAATATTTCATAGATATAGTATTTTTCCATTGTATCCATCCATATCTTCAAAAATTCCTAGGTACTGTACATTCCTGGGTTTTTCAATCTTTACTTAGTTAACACATGTTAACTCCCCCTATACCTGCAATCCTTACCGCTGCCTTTCCAGTTCTAAGTGAAACTCCTAGAGGAACACACCTGTAAGTCTCTAATCTTATTTTTTTCTCCTGTAGATTTTGTAGAATTATACTCACATTTTCATTTGTTATATATTACACTACAACAATTGTTAGCATCTATTTACTTTATTTTAGGATCTTGTTACTCAGCTTACTTAGTCCATATTGTATTGTACTTACTGTTTATAATTCTAATAAGCTTATTCACATTGTTTATAAATTATGTCTAAATATTATGTAATTTCCACAATTCTCTATCTTTTTGTATCTTGTCCGTTCTAGCCCTGATGAAGACCTGCAAAGTCGGGTCGAAACGTTGGCTTTCAATAAAATAGTTTTACCACTATTTAGCCTTTTTATGACCGCAACCCCGGACCATCTCCTTCCTTTAAATTTATTTATTTATTTATTTTTTATGGTTTTCGCTATTTCCCAAATTGAACCAATTAAATAGCGTGGTGCCTGTTAGATAGTTAGTAATATTTAATTGACCTTTGATTATTATTTTTTTTTTTTGCGAACCCTGCCGTCTCCACTGAGCATCCGGCAAATTTTGTTGCGGAAATGATTTTTCCGAATTAAAGACCGTAAAAATGTCATTGATCTACATTACTTGTAAATGTAGGGTCAACTTCAAGCAAGCGAATGTAAAACGAAAAATATGATAGAAAATCGAAAATTCTATCCCGAAAAGAGGAACTACGTTACAGGAAAATCGGTCCTGAGAGAAACAACTTCAATAACCTGGGCTCAACAACAAATTCAATTACCTGGACTCTACAACAATTTCGTTGACCAAAATTCAGTTGGCGCTTGTTATAAACGCCAACGACCATTGGTCATTCATTGATTGAGGTTATCGATAAGTTGGTGTATTTTAATTTTTTTACTCTAGGGAATGATTTCCCTTCCATTACTGGTTCTCGTTTTTTTTTTAGGGTCAAAATTTCGGCTTATTATCATATATTTTGTTTTGTCTTCATTTACTTGTAGGCCCATCTAATCTGCCTCACTTATCAGAGTCTAGGCTAATTTCTCAATGTCTTTTTGGTTAATACCAAGGAAATGTTTATTATTTGCATATCGAAGGATTTTATGATTCATTGTTATTTTAGGACTCGAGATAATTTGTAGCGTTTTTTATATGAGTGTAATTTATGTCAGTTGATACAAAATCTAGTTTATTGTAGGCATGGTTTATACAGTTCAGTATTTATTTCACTTACCGCTCTACTTGAATATAAATTATTTTCTGGCAATTTTGGGCTGTTATAAAATTTTTGAAGTGCATTTTTAACCAATCTAAAGCTTAAAGCTTACAGTTAACAAATCATTAATACCATTAAAATAACAAATATCATTCATTATTTTAGTAGTAATTACAAAACTTCTAGAGAGATGTTTTTTGCTACGAAATAAACTTTAAGTCTCGCTTTGACCAAAAAAAGCTTGATTGAGGTTTTAGCCCAGTAACCTTGTATATCATAAGTTTCATTGGATGGGGGTAGAAGGTTTTATTTTATTTTATTGTTTTGGATATGACTGAGATGCAAATTTCAAGTTTTGGATCTCGGCGTTCCCCCGCATCACTTTTGAATTACCTCCTAAAACTGCTATATTTTTGGTTTTCCCCATTTTATCAATGAAGGAGCACGTTTTTGACAAAAACACTCGATATATTTTTAAAAAAAATACTAAATATGCTACAATTAATTACCAGAACAGGATCAGTAGATGGATTAGTTTACGAAATACAGATTTTAAAATTTCAAACTGTGTTTATTTAATTAGATACTAAAAACTCGTAAATACCCATTTGCTTTCCACTTGGTTCGTAAGGTGATTAGATCACAAAATAGATAAACAAGGTGGCCTACAAAAAGTTTGGGCCATTTGACCTCTATAACCTTTTTGGGTTTACAATTTGGGGGTGTAGGTACTTAAATAAACAAAGTTTACCAACCTGTAGATTAAAAACGCCACAATCCCGAAAATTTTCGTAAATAAAATATTTATAAGTTACAATGAGAAGAAGCTGTATACGAAATTTCGTTTCCATTTCATTATAAATTGCATATTGTCGTGTTACTTGTAACTATATAATATATATATATATATATATATATATATATATATATATATATATATATATATATATATATATATATATATAAGGCAATGTTCTTACACAAAAAAAGTGGCTGCACTGTCCCAAAATAGAGTCCAAA